GGACCGTTTGTCGCCAATGAAGCCATATAATCCGTCACAAAAATTCGACTTTCGATAGCTATGACGAAACTCCACCTCCCAAGGACGGCCCGAGAGCTCCGTTATACCATTCAAAAGACCACTATGAACCCCAGAATGATGGCCCTGACGCACTATACTCCGATTATCCACCTCAATATGCACCTTGCGCGCAACCAATAACACACGAAGTCTTTGAATAAATAGGCAAAGTATATTTGACTATTTGTGAAAATAACAACTAAAGTATATTTATGGAGTCAATCATATTTATTCACCAATAGTGTATTGACACGTGTTTTATAATAAATACAATTTGAATAGATGTCAATACATTGAGTGTGGATGGCTGCATAAGAAAACAATAGAATGGTTCCAGCGGCGGATCCAGAAATCTTCATGAGCATGGGCAAAAATAATTTTACGAATTTTTTACCCATGTTGAACAAAGTACTTATATTTACAATTAAATAAATCGTTGAAACAATCGAGTGTTGAGAGGTCCTCTTTTCAATTTGCCTTTGACTTGATGCTAAAAAGTAAAATTGAAAATGAGATCTGGTTATTTTATTTTGCGTTTTTATTATTATTAAGAAATATACCATATTTTACAATCTTTTTCCTTCAATTGTTTTTATTTTTTTTTTTGTAATAAGAAATAAACAAGTCATTTTGCAATATAATTTATTAATTTAAGAAAAGTTTAAATGTCATCATTTATATTCTTGTTATTTATAAAGATTTTATTTATGGATTATCTTCTTTATATATAAATGTAGAGTTTTTCATTGTTAATTTCGAATGCTTTGTAATTCTATATGATAATTTCTAAGGATTTGAATAGACAACACAAAATGGATTTTTTTATCCTGAACTTTCAAATTAAATGCTTGGGTAACTTAAATTGTAAATGTATTTTAAATTATATATGTTATCATTTTTTATATATGATAACTTAAATTAGTCATATTTTAACAATATATAATTTGGCATTCATATTGTATATATAAATTAAAATAATTATACTATCTGATTTCTATCAATAAAAACTTCAATATTTGTCAATTATAATTGAAAAAAATAAATTTACCTATCAAACTTATTATATGGTATAAGTACTAAAAATATTATAATATACATCATTCTATCAAACTTATTATATGGTATAAGTACTAAAAATATTATAATATACATCATTGAATCTCACCGGTGAGATGTATCATTTTAAATAAAACAATAATGTTATTTTGTAAGTACTATTTAAAACTTTAAAGTAAAAACTTGTATTCATATTTTTACACATATTTAATATAATTTTTTTATTAACACATGTTAGTTATGTAGTTAGCACAAAAAATTGAGCCTAGGCAATTGTCTAGGCTCGACTATATATGAATCCGCCCTTGAATGGTTCCATTGAATTTTTTATCGTTAAGGATCGATCCACCAAAATTTATGAATAAATTTTTTAGCATGACCTAAAATCAATAAAAATTTACCAATTTATAATAATTAGAAAATTAGTTCAAATGAAACTGTATAAGATGCCATATATCAACAAATATGCCTATCCTAAAATACCGTATTAATTATTAATATAATATGTAATATAATGACCAAATCCATGATAAGCTGAGGTGGGCTCCATATATAATCATTTTCATTTTAATATATACTGTTAGCAATAAATTATTATGTTGATAAGATATGAATTTTGTATTGTTAGGTTCAAACTAACAATGATTTCAAGACACACCCAAAACAAATAATTGAATGGACCAAAATAATTAAACTCCAGAAAGTTCCGATATATTATTGTGAAAAAACGTAGCCGTGTGACATAGGGTATGTTTGGTATGACATATAAGCTAGCTTATAGCTTATTTGATTAGCTTATAAGCTTCCTGTATTAAATAAGCCCTGTTTGGTAGGACGAGCTTATTTAAAAAGTTCGAGCTTATTTGATAAGCTTGTTTAGGTAGCGTTTCAAAATAAGCTCGTTGAATTTTTTATTTCAGCTAGCTTATAAGCTACTTTTACCAAACACTTTTATCATATAAGCTAGCTTATAAGCTATAAGTCATAAGCTATAAGCTATAAGCTAGCTTATCACATATAAGCTATAAGCTAGCTTATCAGCTATCAGCTAGCTTATCAGCTAGTTTTACCAAACACACCCATAACCTAGTGGAATTTATTTACTGTCTTGTGGAATTTATTCTTATTGTCTGACAATTAAATTAATTGTTGTAAATGAGGTGTAAATAAATCAGCTCCTCTTAGATGTTTGAGTAGAGTTTTTAATGAGTCGAGTCAAGTTTGGCTCATTCTTATTCTGATACATTAGAGTTTTTAATGAGTCGAGTCAAGTCGAGGTTGATTTTAACTAACCGAAAACTTGAGGCTTAACGATAAAAACTATAACAAATTAAATAAAAAATTCTACTTTCGAGTCTTTAGTGAAGTTTAATGAGCAGCTCGACTCATTCATCTAAACAAGCTTAGCCAAATTTTGGAAACGTACGTTCGTTTCCTTTAAGGGGTATAGTTCTTAAAAAAAGAAGATCTTAAATCTGTTGGAAAAATTAGTTATAAAACTTTG